TTTATAGCTGATGCATGTAGTTTCTGCACCACTAGTGTCACCAAAAGGCACTGCAGAAATAATGATGCTTTTCAAACAGGTTTCCCAAACACTTGCCATTGGTCGGCAAACAGATAGTCCCGCCCCAAACTCACGTGATTGGTTGAGTCAGTGTTGCTGCATCAGGCTGCTCAAACAAACAGAGCAATATTGTGAAAGCATGCAGTGATACTCTGTGAAATCAACCGCCAAATGTCTTACAGCTGTCTCTGCGAATTGAGATGGGAAAGGAGAAAGTATTTTAACACCCAAATGATTAAAAACTTAAGCTTTATGTGATTTGTTGGCATGCTATCAGTCTTGTCATATCTATAAATATACAGGATTGACTATAACAGTCGGTGAAAGAGCATCTGCGAGGTTCACTTGAGAGGAGCGTACGCTGCTCCATGTCACCGGTGTCATGTTAAAGTTATCACATTCAACATTTCGCACTCTTCTTACAAGAACTGCACCGCAGCGAGAAAAGTAAAGTTATCCCTCATCACCAAGACAGCCGTGATGGATTCCAAACACGAAGCGAAGCGCGGATTGATCTCCGAGCGCAAGAGTCGGCACCCCGCCACCTACATCGTCGCTAATAAAAACAATATTTCATCTCTTATTCTTGCTCGCTCGCCTCTCAGTCTCCTTCATCTCCTCGCTGTGATATCACACACACACGTCTTGCTGTAATTAATTCCTGACCCGTTCCCTTCGCAGCTGTCCTCGCTTGCGGTACAAGTGGCTAACAGGTTCTCATTTCAAAGCGCCGCGTAAATTCCGCAGCTCTGCGGCACTTGACGTTTTCGCCAGGGCCAGTCATCAAAGACACTCAATAATGTGTCTCATACATTTACACATTGGGGAACGGTTTAGATTTAGTGAGTCACTGATAAAAAGGAGTTTCATTGTAGATAACGACTTTATGATGAGATGTGACGCGCTAGTTCAACAGCCTTTCTATCATGTGCGGCCCTAATGAGAAACATGAGAGTGTGAACTACAAGCACAGCCGATTCCAACACTGCGCTGGAACGGTACAATACTACAACCCCCCCCCCAAAAAAAACCCACAAACCGTGTTGTCACAGATCTTAATCCAGTTTAGCTGAGGAAGGTTAACCGATAGACCAGAAGGTTCGTAACCACTTTGCATTAATGGAAGCCCGGAATCGTTCAATCTGGTTTCATATCTATCAACCACAGATCTTTAAAAAGACACGTGCGGTTTCCTTGTGCGGTTTAAAAAGCTCTTTACTGGTAACCTGCGGACTAACCTCACCACAGAGGGACTTTTGTTTCCAGACCAGATCCACAGTGAATATCATCTCTACCGCAGACGTTACAGAGAAAGCGGCCAGTGAAAATCTTACGACCGTGAAGGTGCGATCAAACTGAGATGTGTCTCCTGTTTGAAAGCCCAAGAGAGAACATAGGTTTAGTTTTACTACAGATAGGAATGTGTTTAACTCCTGTGCCGAGTTGAAAATCCCTTACTTAATTTGGTGTTCCAGGATAAAAATGACCGGGAGATTGTTTGTGAATCTCTCATTATCACGAAATATTGGATTCGATCTTTTCGTCAACTTGTTTTCTTTCAATTAGCACAGGTTTTGAATTTCTTTTAGGAACTGATTCTTTGCATACCTCATTGATCTAAGCTTAAGTGTTTAAGTGAGAAAAGTTCACTCAAGCTTGTTCACCTAAAGAAACTGCGGTGCATATTTAGATCAATGAGGCCTACGATTAGACAAAAAGTTTTAAAAAGGACTACAAAACCAGTCCTAACTCAAAGAAAAGAATTTGATAAAAGGATTGAATCCAATATTTGGCAATAACATAGCATAATGAGAGATTTATAAGCAATTATTTGTAGGCTGGGAACACCACAAGTGTAACAAAGACTGAAAAAAAGAACATAAAGCACAAACAATGATGAGCAGGAAGATTTAGTCCAATGCAATAACATTAACTGGCATTTTACGGAAAAAGATCATCTTCTCTGTGTCAAAATGTCCAGAACACAACAGGGGTCCCCCATTTCTTCACCTCTAAATAATATATTTAAGTAAACATATAAGTCAAAACCATGCATGTGGTCTTTATAGTTGTTGACATGTCAGATTGACTAAACCAGAGGTCTGTTTTAAATTTGATTGAAAAAATTATGTTTGGTGACACTCACTTGACCTTTACCTGAGATTTACCTGAGATAAGGACAAGGCCCATAAATAGCGTTCAATCCCAAATCTACAACTATGACCACAATATGCAATACGCTTGCCATGTAAATATCAGTGTATGTTGTGGTGCAGCGACTATGCCTGCATGCACACACAGCTGGTCTCGAGTCTTTGTCTGACTCAGACTGTATTGAGCTGAAGTGATTGATGTTAATTGTAGAACAGAATGGAGGTATTAAACACAGAGAAACTCACAGCCAAACACATTGCCAAGACAGACTCATTAACCCACAGCTCTTCCTCTCATACCATCTCGAAGCAAGCCATCTCAAACAGAGACAATACGAGTGTGTGTGTGTGTGTGTGTGTGTGTGGAGCCTCAGCCAAAGATCAATAGCCCAAAGCTGCAAAAGCAAAGACATGGGCAATCAATACTGCCGCTACAAGCAGCAAGCAGGGACTGAAAGAAAGAGAGGGGGAAAGACAAGAGAGAATGAATTAAAGGGACAGGACAAAAAGAAAAACAATCTCTACAAATCACCCTTAAAGTTCAGAGCAACAAAGCCAAAAAATCCAAGAGTTATGCACTTAGCGAAGGGTTCTCATACTTTTTGCCCAATGTATTTCGGTGACTTTTCCATGACCTTTCCAGTCGTTTGTGATTACTGGGTTAGGATTCACTAATAAATCATTCAGACCAATTTGTGAATCGGTTTGACAAATTCAGAGACTCGAAAAGAACAATTCGCTCACAAATCAGACATCACAATGGCTCATGAGCCAGATTCACTAGATACAAGAACAATATCTAGGCGATGAAATATTTTAGAGCATAATTAGAGCAGTGTGCATTCATTATAGAAATTTCCATGACTTTCAAGATTCATTTCCACAAACTCCACAAATTCCCCAATATTTCCAGCTTTACATGACTGTGGGAACTCAGTCTGTTGTTCCCATTCATGACTGTTATTAGTAAATAACACAAGTACTTTGTGGATTTTTAAGTGTCTTGAGGTTTGACCTGAGTCTGAGTACATCAGGATCTCAGTGTGTGAGGAACCCATTCATTATTCTAGTCTAATGTGCTGAAATCACCTGTCGTGCCGTCCCCTGCACAGCATCCAAAACAGGACAAAAAAGTATTAACTTACTGTGCAGTTTATAATATTGTGTCTGTGTGTGTATTTGAATGCAGAAAAATAAGAATGGCATGCTAGAATGCTATTGAGAAAATATCCTGACTGTTGCACTTGAATACCTGATGTCCTCGGATGAGGGAATGAGGGCAGAGATCCTAGAGACGCCCTCTAGTGGAAGCACAGCACAGAACACAATAGGAAACCGGATGTTGGAGGTGACGGACATTGGGAAGACCGGAGGGAAATGCTCTCTAAATGTCAGGTGAATTAATAATGGTTCTTATCTGCCTCTTCTTTCCTCCTCTCCGTCCCTCCTTTCCTCTCTCTTCCTCTGAAAAACAACTTTCTTTCCAATGGCACATACTTCATGAGGTGGGAGAGGTTGAACAAGAAGCAAACATGAATGCATTTAGAGGAGAAAGTCAATGTGTGTGTGTGTTACAATGGGTGGAGGGGACCAAAGGGATGACCTGCAAGTCCAAATCACTGACTAACTACTGACCCTCATGGCCCACTATTAATAATAACTGTCTTCCAGCTCACACACATGCACATGACTATTGTGTTTGAGTGTGTGCGTGGGTTTACTGGTTATACTTTGAGCTAAAAAAAATGTCCCCAGAAGTTAGATAAATAGACAAAGGACATTCTCAATTAAGCACGGTCAGGCTGCTCTGTTGGCTGGATTTAATGAGGTGTTCAGCTAATCAGACTGGGAAACCAGCAAACGTTCACAAATTCTCTAACGCTATTAAATCATTTGAAAACTGGACGTTTTGAACATCCAGAGAACATAGAAATAACGTTTTCATAGCTTAATGGAAACATTAGAGAAACGTTCCTATAACATATTTTTGTTAGCTGGGCTAGTCTTGCTTTAGCTCTATATAAAACAACAGATGTCTAAGGTATGTACTCATTTAGATAGTTAAGTAAAAGTGTGTGTGTGTGTGTGTGTGTGTGTGTGTGTGTGTGTGTGTGTGTGAGAGAGAGAGAGAGAGAGAGAGAGAGAGAGAGAGAGAGAGAGAGAGAGAGAGAGAGAGAGAGAGAGAGAGAGAGAGAGAGAGAGACGAGGAGGGGGTTCAGGGAGGGTGGGTGAGTGTTGGCTTGGCTGACCGTCTGCGGTTCTGTCGCGGTGCTGAGAAATGTTCCTTTTGGATCGGACCGTGAGCTTTCATACCTCCCTCTCACTTTCAAACGAACCGTCTCTCTTCACTCTGCCCTCTTGAGTTTTACAGTCATGAAACGCACCAAAAGCATCAAAAGCACTAAACTTTTCGAAGAACCGTTAAGCGTTCTGGCTGGTCCTGGTTTACACGAGATGGGGGATTTTGGGCTTGAACCAGGGGCAGATTTTTGCCCTCATAAAGTGTGGGGTTATAGTTTGGGACCCGGCCTGAGCTTGTTTCCCCGGTGCTCTTTTGTTGCGCACGGTGACATTGGCGAGTGTTTTCGCTGTAGTCGGGCGACATCACACAGAGGCTGAGTAATCTTGTTTGGATCCAATAAGTGTGTGTGAGGGGGAAAGCAGAGAGAGAGAGAGAGAGAGAGAGAGAGAGAGAGAGAGAGAGAGAGAGAGAGAGAGAGAGAGAGAGAGAGAGAGAGAAGGGGGGGCTGGGGGAGGGAGGGTGGATTGATCTGAAATCTTGTTCTGTTTTTTTTTTTTTTACTTGGAGTGATTTCTGCGCTCTGCCGTGGAGCTTCAGAAGACAAACGAGCGGAGAAGAAACAAGCCGCGTTTACGCACCGCGCGCGCAAAAACGCGTCGTTAGTTTTTGCATCCAACGTTTTACGGGAATTTGTGAATGAAAGCGGCTGAGGAAGAGGAGGCGGCGCAGGTTAAGTGGACGCTGCATCCAGTGTATGGGTTGCTTTCTTTAATGCGCAAAAAAGAGACGCGTTTTACCTCATCGACCGAAGCCCTTTCGTCGGGCAGACTTTTGCGCTGTTCTGGCGGGGGGAGCTGCAAACTTTCTTCATTTTAAAAAATAAATAAAAAGCTCAGATTGCATTCTTTCCCCCTCCAAACATTTTGGAGGTGATGTCATCGGCCCGTGTTTTGGCTGCTGTTGCGCTGGAGCTTCAGAATTGAGTCCGGGAAATCAGGTGCAGGGAGCTGCTGTCGCGGGTGGCTGCGAGCGTGTGCCTTTCACCCCTCCGCCTTTCCTTCTGCTTTCCTTTCACTTTCCCCCCATCATCATTTCATTTCCCCGTCTCAGCAGCCATGACCGAGCACGCTCCACGGTACCCGGGGTCCAGCTCGCCGCCTCTGCGTCTTCATCGCTCCATCCCCGTCCAGGTGCTTTGCCTCCCGCGGCGCGTCATTTCGCCCGTGGAGGATCAGCATTGACACAGACTCTCTCGCGTGCGCATGCACTCCACGGAATTAATCAGTTTTAATCCTTATCTGTGGAAGGACATTTTCAGCAGGAAAAGTTACGGTCGGACTGATTGGAAACCTTTTGCTGGCTGTCAGGAAAGTTTTTATGAGCGGAAACTGCGTATAGGTGTGGGTCGCGTTTGAACTTCGATTCACCTGTTCGTCAGACTCCGGAGGATTCAGCTGCGCCCCGCCTCGCCCCGCCCCCTGCCCGTTACCGACCGCGGACCGCAGCCATCCGTAACGGCGGTGGTGCGCTCACACCCCGCTGACCCCGAGCCGCCCGTTGATGGTGAAAAGATGCAGTCCACCGGCGCCAGCGGGAACGTCCGCCGACCCTGCATTCAAACGGATTAAACAAACCGGACAGACGTGAAGCCGTGATCCGGAGAGCCGTTTCTCAAGCGCGCACGGAGCCACACGGACGCGGAGGAAGCGATGTGGGCCTTTCTCTCCACGGTGGCTGTCTTGTAAGTCATTTCTGAATGACCTCATGCAGAATGAGTTGTAATGCGTAAATTATAAATGCTGCTTTCAAAAAAGCTCAATTACCACAGTCTGTGTGCCACACGCTTCACTTGGCATGACAAACTCCAAGTCTTGCATACATAATGATCTTATGAGATTACACTTCTGGGTTACCATGGACACAGATGTCAATCACACCCAGCTCAGGTAAGGCCCATCCAATGAAAACAGCTCCAAAGGTGTGCCTGCCACTCTCCTTATTTTCCTTTTTTCTTTTTTTTTGTTGTGCACACATGGCAGTCATCTTGAGATGGTTATCATTCCTTTCCCAACCTGTGGATGGGACCAAAGGGCCTCCGATAATCCATATCCCGAAAGGCAGACGCTCCGTCTGTCTGTCAGAGCGCCTGTCTGGTCCCGAGCTCTCCAAATTACTAATAATAACGCCCAAGGATGGTTGTTGAAGCAGGCACAGAGCTGGCACCTTATCTCCTGTCTGGAAAGAGCAGTGGCCATGTGACCTTCTCCGACAGGAAACTGCCGTTTAGAGACAGAAAAACATCAAACAGAGCTTTAACATTCTCAGACAGTTGTGCAGAATTAGCCAGGAATTGTGGAAGTGAGACTAGATCATGTTTGCTTAGCATGTGCGCTTGTTCTCAAGGTTGGTGTCCTTACAAACGGATTCACCGTCTAATGATAAAACGCACCATATTTGAGGTGGTTTCCGTTCAGGGTCTGTAGAAACAGAAGACAGCAGGCACAGATGTGTTGAAGTCTGGTTCGCCTGTGAAAGCGAGAGGCGTCAGGTGCGCTAGAGGTTATTTGTTTGAGATGAGGTGAAGATAAGTTAGTCACCATTTATCAGTTTCTTTCGAAGCTCTTCTCAGCGAAGCACCTGCGGTTCAGTGACTTGCTCAAGGCCGTAGCGATAAGCTGTAGACAATGGAAGAAGACTTGATTAGTGCAACTCATGTAATCAGGACGGAAATGTACAAACCACATGCTCTACATACAAGAAGGATGAAATGCATGGAATTCAATCTATTTAAAAACCAATCAATTTCCTAATTCCAATTCCACTTCACCACATTGTAAAAAGTTATTTTTGAAGTTTTATGGATTGTTTTACAAGAAAATACTAATTCAGTCTTTCTACTTGCAGTTTCTTTGTAATCATTTGAAATTCACTAGCAATTTCTAAGTGAAATTTGTTGCAAAGCAAATACTAGCCATTTTTTTCTATGCTGGTCTGGCAAAAGTGCTGCTGTTTTGTTCTGGTGAAGCGGGTGACCAATGAAGTCTCACTGATAAGAACATCAGAAGCAAAGTAGGTTTAAAAATGGTGAACTTTATAACCCAGTTTCACAGACAAGGCTTAGGTCTAGTCGGACTAAAATGCACGTTTGAGCTGTTTGAACCGAAAGCAACTTGCATTGACAAATCTTAAACTATGTCAGTGCCATTGTTTTGTTTAAAGATGCACACTAGTGATGTTTTTTTCTAAGGCACATTTATAAAAGCTATTTGATGTCCTAATTGAACTAATCCTGGCTTAATCTAAGCCCTGTCTGTGAAACCAGGCCTAAGAGGAGTACAAATCTAGGAAATCTATCACCATATCAGGACTGATCCAGTGCCCTTGAGTGAGTGCTGCAGAAATCGAGGCCTTTACGGTGACATATCACACAAACGGGACTTTCTGTTCCTGTAGATCTTTTAGAGAACACCACTGGAACATTAATCTTAAGACTCGCAGCACCTACAGCCCTGACTGCATTTCTCTTTCCTTCCCTGTGCTGCTATATTGTTTAAAGTTGGCCAGCGGTGTAAATTGTGCTTGAAGGGTGTGCAGGGTGATTTGGGATACGACTCCACCTCGCTGCGCTCAACTCTACACACGAACGCCTTCAGGAATCATTCTGTCTCAGGTTTGATGATGTCATCACCTTGCTTGTTTTGGCTGCCGACAATAGCGCTCAGTAGAGTAAAGCTCGCAGCTACTTTCTTTCTTTCTTTCTCCTTCTCTTTCCCCATTCCCCCCACCTTTCTCTCTCTCTCTCTCTCTCTCTGGCAGGCCGCAGGCTCGTTGCGGTTTGGGAGGGATACGGAGAATCCGAGGTTGCAGCTGAAGTAGTTTTTTTTTTCTCTCTTTCTCCCCTCACTCTCTCCCTCTCTCTCTCGGTGAAGCACTACTGTTTTAACAGCTGAGAGTTCTTACGGGACCCAGAGCCAGTCTCACCTGCGCAGCCAGGGTTTGGCAGCTACACCAACCTTACATGCACAGATCCGAAGCCAATGTGTGCTGATCTGCAGCCAGCATGCACACATCTCGCATGTGCAAATCTGCATACCGTGCGGCCCGTGTGCAGTGAGCATGCATGACCTCTGCTGCCTATTAGAGAAACACAACACATGCACACTAATGCATTTCAGTTAAATGTACAGCATGTGTGCATAGTACACGCATACAAGCATCCGAGCTCAGTAAAGCACTAAATATTCTTAATACACTCAATAACATTAATAAGACCTTGCTTATTAATGACCCAATAAGCACAGAAAATGGAAAACAAAATGGTTAATACTATAGGCGTATTACTTATGTATATTAGCTATTGTACAAACACACTATTCAAAAGTTTGGGGTCAGTAAGATTTTTAAAAAAAATTATTAATACTTTTATTCAGCAAGGATGCATTCAAATGATCAAAAGTGACAGCAAAGACATTTATAATGTTACAAAAGATGTAAATGCTGTTCTTTTGAACTTTCTATTCATCAAGGAATCCTGAAAATAATTGAATCATGGTTTCCACCAAAGCAGCACAACTGTTTCCAACATCGATAATAATCAGAAATGTTTCTTGAGCAGCAAAATCATCATATTAGAGTGATTTCTGAAGGGTCATGTGACACTGAAGACTGGAGTATTAATGATGCTAAAAATTCAGCTTTGATCACAGGAATAAATTACATATTACAATAAATTCACAGAGAAAACAGCTGTTTTACGTTGTAATAATATTTAACAATATTACTGTTTTGCTGTATTCTTTTGATCAAATAAATGCAGCCTCCGTGAGGCTTTTTCAAAAGCATTTGAAAAATCTTACCGACCCAAACCCATGAACGCTTAGTTCCTTAGTTTGTCTATACAGCTTCATGCATATTAACATCAGAAATGCAGACAGCATAAATCAGTGCACACAGGTGGAGAGGAGCTGTTTATGTGAGCAGGTGCACACACACATAAACACACATGAGAACCTGGTCAGCACATGCACATCTGGTCAGTGATGATGCCGAGGTGTGTGGCCGGGTCGGGGATCTCAGGTATGAAGGGTCAAAGAGCAGGTGTGTGTGTCGGCCAGACAGGTGAAGCCTGTGCCATTCGGTGACGCACCGTTTAGCAACATGATACACAGAGTGTCTCTGTTCCATTTACATTGGTAATGTGTTGCTGAGGAAACTTCACAAACACGTGTGAGCTCGTGAGCATATTGGGCCAGTATGACTGGAGGTGAAGAAAAGGGCCGTCTCGATCCGTTCTGGAGAGCTTTCACACGCTTTTACATTTTCCTACAGCTTCATTTAAACATCTTCAGCAAGTGGAGGAGTTTAGTAAGAGAGAAAAATGTTTTTAGGGTGCAGTGACACCTGCGCTTCATGACTTGTTTTATGTGCTGTATAAACACCAGGAAATTATACAGAACGTTAGCCTGGGAAAACCCAGGCAACTTCCGGCAAATTTAGATTTGCTCTGAAAGTTAGTCTGGCAAAGAGCTCATTCAAGCCCATTTCCAATCCGCCGAAATCGAGGCACCAATCAGAAACGTTGGGGCGGGCTTTACACGATGACGACAGCGCTGGGATTTTGAAGCAGATTTTGTAGCCTACATTACAAAGATGGATGCCGCCGTCGAACATCACTCGTTCGAATCAGCTATCGCGTCTGTTTTAAGCGATTTGAACGTTTCCTTTTAGTTAAAAACCGAGCAAAGAACAACACTCGGAGATGTTTCTCCGCCGCTCTGCATACGTCATCTCCTTCATCGCTCTGATTGGGTTTAGGTCTATCCGCGACGTCCGTTGGTGACGCCCCTCTGGAAATGATTTGTCTATGACGCTTTGCCAGACCATAACTCAGTTACACCTGAGAATGGTCTGGTTTTAACCAGGCTAACAGAACGTCAGATCAAATCCAAGAATCTGATTGGTTTGAATCACTTTGAAAACCCTGAAGATAATTCAGCATAAAGGGGTTTTGCTGGTTAGTATGGCCATTGTAACTACACTAACTGCTAAAACACATCTTAAGTAGTTAACTTTTTTCCCTAATCACTTTAGAGCCACAGGAAAATCTAATAACATAAAATTATGAATAAATCCCTTATAAACAAAAGATAAGGTCAAAGGTTTAAGGGGTCATGTCATATATAAATGGTAAGTTATGCATTACTCACATTTCATGATAGTCACCACTGAGAAGATTGGAAATATATGCGCATCTTCACTGCAAAAAAAAAATTTCTTCCTCAGTATTTTCGTCTTGTTTTCCAGTACAAATATATAAACATTTTGAAAACAAGATACATTTACTTGAGATGCACTCTGACTTGAAAACATATCCTTAAAACAAGAAAAAATCTGCCAATAGTGAAAGAATTATAGTCTTGGTTTCACTTTGAATTAAGCTTATTTTTCGGACTGTACTGACCGATATTTTTTCTTGTTCTCAAAAAACGTGTATGTAAAATACAAGGATGGCACATTTCAAATCAGGTACTTCAGATTTGCATGCGCCAGCCAAACAACTGCCAAAAAAGACAGATAGCAGATAACAGATAGCTTTCTACACCTGGTATTAAGATGCAGGTTTTTTTTCGATCGGATCACATGTGGATGAGGGAGACACATTCCCGTTTATACCTGGTGTTTTAATCCGTCTCTTTTAATAATAATACTAATACTCATTTTTTACATGTATATAGCGCTTTT